CAGGCCCAGAGTTCAAGCCCCACGACCGACAAAACAAAAAAAAGGAAATACCCGAGACTGGATTCTGTGTGTGTGTGTGTGTGTGTGTGTGTGTGTGTGTGGTGTGTGGTGTGTGGTGTGTGCTGGTTCTGGGGGTTGAACTCAGGGCCTAGATATTGTCCCTGAGCTTTTTTGTTCAAGGCTAACACTCTACCTCTTGAGCCAAAATTCTACTTCTGGCTTTTTGGTAATTAATCAGAGATAAGGGGTTAATGAACTTTCCTGCCCAGGCTGACTTTGAGCCACAATCCTCAGATCTTGGCCTCCTGAGAAGCTAGGATTACAGGCATAAGCCATGGGTGCCTGCCTCTGGGAGACCTAAATTTTGCTTGTATCCCTTTGCTGGTGTTGTGATGACTTTGGGCAGAACAGTTTGTTTTTCTATTAATACAAAAAGCTCTTTTTGGTGACCAGATTAGAGCACTTCTGAACTATCCGGAGCTGGTATTTCACCATGGTAGTGCAGGCAACATATCTCATGTCCCCTCCTTGTCCATTGGCTAAGACATTGGAGCACTTAGCCTTCTTGAAGGTTCTGACAAGTGTCTGTATATAATGAGGGAACTGCACTTGGCTTCCCATGTGTCTACATTCTGTAGGTTTTGAGTTTGAGAAATTATATGTTAGTTTCATTTTCCAGAGAAGTTTGGTATTTGAACAATGGTTCATTTGAAGGATAAAAGCAAGCAAGGAAAAAAAATCCTTTAATTTCATGCTTGTATGCAGGCAGAAAGTAATTTGTGGGTATTCTGGGGAGAGGAATGGGAGTATATACCCAAGATATACAAGTGAGTGTAGGTATACCACCCAGTGGTCACTTTGATTCATTAGCTTACTTCCCTTAAAACAGTTGAAGCACACATGTGCTCTCCTGCATGGGTGCCCCTGCATGTATGCTCCTGTGTGCACGCATGTGCGCGTGCACGCACACACACACACACACACACACACACACACACCACTATGCCTGGAGGATGTGGCCCCTCATCCTTTCTTATCTGTGTTCACTTCCCCTAAGGAAGAAGTCCCTCTTAGTGAATAACAGCTTTGTGGTGGCTGCAGCCATCATGTTCGGCTTCAGCCGCAAAGCACGCTCCTGTGAGATGATCATGCTCGGAAGACTGCTCATGGGAGTCAATGCAGGTACTTCATCATGCCTCTCTGTTCCAATTTCATTGTTACTTCCCTTCTTTCCCTGCTTCCTTCCCTCCCCCACTCTTTATTCATTAACACATTCACTCATGCCCATCTGTTTTATAAAGCAATTAAATATGGCATATCTTAAAAGATTCATATAACTATAGACATTTACAGAAGAGACAGAAAGATGAAAAAAATGCAAGAATGAGGGAAGCCAGGTACCAGAGACTTAGGCTTGTAATCCCCCTAGCTACTGAGGATACTGAGATCTGAGGATTGTTTGAAACCAGTCAGGCAGGAAAGTGTGAGATTCTTGTTTTCAACTAACCATCAAAAAGCTGGAAGTAAAGCTGTAGCTCAAGTGGTTAAAGTGCCAGCCTTGAGTAAATAAGTTAAAGGCACAGTGCTATCGTCCTGAGTTCAAGCCCCAGTGTGCACACACACAAATGAAGGGAAAAGTCCCCAGACTAAACAGCAAGTCATATGTTTGAGCAACACTCTAAGCATGAATTTCCTGGCAGCCAATGTATAAAGGAATATGTTAGGGGCTCCCTGTTTCTGAGGTTCATTTTGTGAGGGAAGAGAATTTTTGAGTACACTCACTTGCTTTTAGGCGAATATTTTTATAAATTATCAAGTAATGTCTTGAGTATTTGCTGTTTCCACAGTCTATATTAATTGCCTATCGGAGCCTTAAAACAACCTACATTTCACAAGGGCCCAAGAATATGTTAATCAGGTGGCTCTGGCTTGAGGTCTATCATGAGGGTGTGCTCACACTATGTAGGTATGGCTGCCATCTGAGAGAGAATTTCTTCCAAGAGCTCCTAGCATACTATTGAGCCTCAGGTTTCTCATTTGGGTTTCCATGGGGCTTTATGGCAGCTAGCTTTCTCTAAAATAGAGAAGGAGAAGGTGAGGGAAAGAAACAGAGCAAGGAGGAGGTCTGTCTTTTTATACCCTTAGTTTGTAGGCTTCGTACACCAGTAGCTTGTCTACCTTCTATCCATTGGAAATGAGTCATCAAGAACAGCCCACTAGCGAGGCACTGGTGACTCACTCCTGTAATCCTAGTTACTAAAGAGGCTGACATCTGAGAACTGTGGTTTGAAGCCAGCCTGTCTCACGGAAAGTCCATGAGACTTTGATCTTCAATAAACTATTCAGAAAGAACCAAAAGTGGTACTTATCTCTGAGCAAAAGAAACTCAGAGACCAGTGCCCAGGTTCAGGGCTTAAACTCTAGGACTAGCAAAAAAAAAAAAAATCCACAGCATCTCTCAATAGCACATGGACTTCTGGGGCTATTCAATGTTAAAAGTATTGTAGAAACTTTCACACCTAGGAAGATCCCATGAGCCTGTGGGGCTGGGATAAGGGAGCAGGGTAGAAGCTGATCTGGGAATAGACTTCGATCCTAGAAGGCATAATGAATGGCCTTAACACCAAGTGTTGTAAAGCTCTGGGCAATGCTGAGTGAGTCTGGAAAGACAATGAGCATGTGTGCCTCCCTCCTGGTAGCTGAGAAATCCTTGCTATGCATGTGTTCAGGTGTGAGCATGAATATTCAGCCCATGTACCTGGGGGAAAGTGCACCCAAGGAGCTTCGAGGAGCAGTGGCCATGACCTCAGCCATCTTCACAGCCTTGGGCATCGTGACGGGGCAGGTGGTTGGACTCAGGTAAGCTCTTTTTCTTTGCAGTGAGTGGTTTCAGGGAAACCAATAAAAACCATTCTTCATTCAAATTTCTCCCCTACCTACCAAGACTTGGTGAATCCTTGTGCTTCTTTGCACAAAAGGCAGTGAAGCTCTGAACATATCCACATTTCTGATACACACACATAAGAAAAGGACGTTGGGCAACCACACCTCATCCTCTCTAGAGCAGGGACCAGAGAGTGGGTCTTGACAGAGAAGATTTTGACTTTGAAAGGGGAGTATGTAATAGTTATCCCAGGTGGGACAGGGGGAGGGAAGAGGGCAGAACCTAGACTCTTGGGAGAAGAGTTGCTAGGTTTACGGTGAGATAAAGGCACTGCCTTCCACTCGTTTCTAAGTTGGGTGGAAGAGACATTAGAAGATGTCCACATTCACAGCTAGTAGGCAGAGGTAACGGGCAAGGCAATACCCTGCAAGTAGGTTAGCGGACAAGGAAGGGAGAAGGGAGAAGGTGAGCAGAGCTGTGACAGAGATCATCTGTCACAGATAATCTCCATGTTGTTTTCTGACTCCCCAGCGAGTTCCTGGGCAGCCGACAGGTCTGGCCTTGGCTGCTAGCCAGTTGCCTGGTACCTGGGGTCTTGCAGCTCACCACTCTACCCCTGCTCCCTGAGAGCCCACGGTACCTCCTCATTGACTGTGGAGACACTGATGCCTGTCTGGCAGGTAAGTCTTGCTGGATCCCAGACTACCCTTGATCCAGGGAAGCATCTCACTAGAATAGGTTCATTTCTTGGGTTTTATTAGAGAAAAGCTGTCTTTTTCTTTATGCTTCAACTTCACCATCAGTGCATAACATACCTTCAAAACCCTTTTTTAGGGGACAAGGAGGGATAAGTGGATGATAAAGAGGGATGGGGTAATGATTAAAAACAAATGTACTTATTGCCTTACCTAGGAAACAATAACCACCCAGCTCATCACCTTTTCAATCAAAAAATGGAAATAAAGAAATAATAAAAATAAAAACTGTTTTTTTTTCTGGTCAGTTGTGGGGTTTGAGCTTTGAGCCTGAGCGCTGTCCCTCAGCTCTTCAGCTCAAGGTGAGCTCTCTACCACTTGAGTCACAGTGCCACTTGTGGTTTTCTGGTGGTTAATTGAAGATAAGAGTCTCACAGACTTTCCTGCCCTGGCTGGCTTCGAACCACAATCCTCAGATCTCAGCCTCTTGAGTAGCTAGGATTACAGGCCTGAGCCAACGGCACCTTGGCTTTCAAAACTCTTTATCAAGGAGATGTCCTGAACTTTAGTGTAATAGGATGAATGGGCCTAACCACTTTCATCCAGGGAACCCAGGATGGTAACAGAGAAAGAGCCACAAGTATACTCAGGGTGAAAGACCACTGTAAGCCTCTCGTGCTCAGTGCCAAGTGGGTGATGATTGTCTTACCAGTTAACATGGCTACAATGAGGATAACCAAAGAACAATTAGAAAAAAAATTCTCTGGCTTAAAATTGCGATCATTTACCACATATTTTACTCATTGACTGGTCTGCTTGCACAATTCTGCTCTCAGCTGAGCTGGCTCATGTGTCAGGAATTATGGCTAATCAAGACTGGTCTGGACTGTATAACAGTTCAGTTCTACCCATGAATCCTCTTGCTCACAGTTCCAATGGATTAACTTAGGAATGTTATTTAGTGTAGTGATGAGAGACACCTAAGAAAGCAAACTCAGAGGCACAAGGATTTTCTAAACCTTTTTCTAAACCTCATGTCCAACTGACCAAAGGGAACCGTGCTGACAAACCCAAAGCCAAGAGGTTGGAAAATATTTATGGTACATCTCCCATGGCAGGAGGTGTGGATTGAGGAAGGGTTGAGGGCCAGAGCTGAGGAGTGTCTTCTTCACTATTATGTTAAAGAATGTCTTCTTCACCATTATGTTATGGATGTCTCTACCTGTGAAAACTGTCTTTCCAGACATGGCATCAGTCTTGAAATCCTGATATCACATCAAGTCTGTACATACTAGATCCATACTAGATCCAGGTCTTTCCCCTTCCTGAACTTAGCATAGAATAATGAAAGTGAGATAATGTAATGAGAATTAATGGTGTGATTTCAAAAAAGGAAAAGATAGAGACAAGTCATTGATCTATAACAATTCTATACTGTCCCTAGGAACACATTGCCAGATCCCCTTGACTCGGAACTAAGGAATTTCCAAGCAAGCCTGGGCTTTGCCCCCTGGGAGGGGCCTCTGTGCTATGGTTTTCTAAGATCTTCCTTAACACCTATTGAAAAGAGTATTAGAAAATGCTTTTGGTGATCAAGCAAATTTCACAGCCTGCTTCCTGTCTGTAGAAAGTTGGGGACACAGAGTAAAAAAAAAATTTAGCTTTAATAGAACTATCTAAAAAAATGATGTGGGCTAAGAATGTGGCTTAGTGGTAGAGTGCTTGCCTAGCATGCATGAAGTCCTGGGTTCCATTCCTCAATAAAAGCTATTAGTGGCACTGTGGCTCAAGTGGTAGAGTGCTAGCCTTAAGCAAAAGAAGCTCAGGGACAATGCCCGGGCCCTGAATTCAAGTCCCAGGACTGGCACAAAAAAAAGTGAATTTTCTATGGAGAGAGAGGGAGAGAGAGAGTGGGAGTGAGGGATTTATTTGAAGAATTAAAGAGGAGCACCCTTTTCCTCCATCTCAGCCATGAAACGGCTGCGGGGCACAGGAGATGTGACAGGGGAGCTGGAGGAGCTGGAGAAGGAGCGTGCCGCTTGCCAGGGCCATCATGCACAGAGCCCATGGGAACTTTTACAGAATCCCACCCTTCGGAGGCAGGTGACCAGCCTTGTGGTGCTGGGCAGTGCTATGGAGCTTTGTGGGAACGATTCGGTGAGACCCTTGCCCTGCCTTACACCCTGGGCTTGTTGGGCTGAAGTAGCTGGGAGCCATGGATGATTGAAGAGACCAGTGTCTCAGAACTGGTCCATCATTGGGTCCAATATCAGGTATATGCCTACGCCTCCTCTGTGTTCCGGGAGGCAGGAGTACCAGAGGAGAAGATCCAGTACACCATCATCGGGACTGGGAGCTGCGAGCTGCTCACAGCTTTTATTAGTGTGAGTAGGAATCTGGGCCCCACTCTGCCAGCCCTGCTGGAAAGGGACCTTCAGGTTGGGGATACCCCTAGGATTGCAGTCCTTTGCAGTAGGCCATTTTCCACCCCTGTGCATGCTATTAAGAATATGAGTCAGGCCGGACACCGGTGGCTCACGCCTGTCATCCTAGCTAGTCAGGAGGCTGAGATCTGAGGATCACGGTTCAAAGCCAGCCTGGGCAGGAAAGTCCGTGAGACTCTTATCTCCAATAAACCACTAGAAAACTGGAAGTGGCGTTGTAGCTCAAGCAGTAGGGCGCTTGCCTTGAGCTGAAGAGCTGAGGGACAAGCCCAGAGATCAAGCCCCACAACTGACAAAAAAAAGAAAAAAGAAAGAAATATGAGTCAGGGCTTGGAAGGTGGCTCAGTAGTAGAGTGCTTACCTCACGTGCATGAGGCCCTGGGTTCGATTCCTCAGCACCACATTAACAGAAATAGCCAAAAGTGGCACTGTGGTTCAAATGGTAGAGCTCTAGCCTTGAGCTGAAGAGCTGAGGGACAGCACCCAGGCCCAAAGTTCAAGCCCTATGACCACCACCACCAACTATATATATATATGAGTCATTTGTTGAACGTCTATTAAGCAACCACTTGAGTTGTACTTTGTGGGGTGGGGATACATTACCATTTTGAAATGAGATAACTGCATGAAATTGAGTAACTGATTGACCAAGGTCATTTGAGAAGTTAACCAAATTGTTACCTCTTGAAGCAACACCAGCTTCCTCATGGAGGCCCCTTCTCCATTGACTGACCCCAACCCATGGCCTGGTGTGTGGGTCATTCCTGAGCGGCTTCTTTCTCTTGCAGTGTGTGGTGATCGAGAGGGTGGGACGGCGGGTGCTGCTGATGACGGGCTACTGCCTGATGACCTGCTGGGGGAGTATCTTCACAGCTGCCCTGTGCCTGCAGGTACGTGGGGGTCAGGGGAGGGAATAGCTGAGCCAGGCCTGTTTCAACCTCAATCCTATCCCATCTGTTCTGTGTAGAGTTTCTTCCCCTGGATGCCCTACCTGGCTATGTCCTGCATCTTTGCCTTCATCCTCAGTTTTGGCATTGGTCCTGGTGAGTAAAACCCAGGGCACTCTGGGCCTGGCTGAAGGAATGATGGATATCTGGATGAATGATGGGTGGATGTGAATATGAGTTTATCTGGGGACCCTGGAGCCCACCTGAGGCTTCTGGGAAGCAGTAGTTGGAGGAGGGTACTCAAGGGCCCCAGGTGACCTAACTTGGGCCAGGTAAAGAAGTAAGGCCCAGAGCCCTAATTGGCAACCCTTGTCCCTACTCCTTATAGCTGGAGTGACAGGAATCCTGGCCACAGAGCTGTTTGACCAGAAGGCCAGACCTGCTGCCTATACGATCTGTGGGGTGCTCATGTGGACCATGCTCTTCCTGATTGGGCTAGTTTTCCCATTCATCATGGTAGGTCCTCCTCTTCCTGAAATGGGGGCCCTGCTTCATGTATGGTCAGTATGAGGTCTCAAGGGAGGCTTCCCTCCAGGGAGGTTGGGAGGGAGGGAACCTTAGGTAACCAAGGGACAAGTCCCTTCTCACAATCAACCTGTCTTGGGCCTGACACCACGGACTCTAGGGGGGGTCACACCAGCTCTTGGTTTCTCTTTTAACCCACAGGAAGGCTTGTCCCACTTAGTCTATGTTCCTTTCGTCTGTGTCTGTATCTGTGGGGCCATCTACACAGGCTTGTTCCTCCCTGAGACCAAAGGCAAAACCTTCCTAGAGATCTCCAAGGAATTGCAAAGGCTCAACTTGCCCCGCCAGACTGGACGCCCCAGGTGGACTGGTCCAGAGGTCATCCAGTCCACGAAGGTCTAACTGCAAAGCTGTGGCCAGGAGCCCAAACCAGTTGCCCTTTCCTTTGTTACCTGCATTCATTTTCTCCCGCCTTTAGCAAGTGTTTATTGGGCACCCATTGTGTCCAGATGTGGTACTGGGTGCTTGGCAATTGGTGGGAGATAGGGAGACATGATGTAGGACCGCGTGGTGTCCCCATTTACAAATAATTGACAGAGAACCAATAGAAAATAATCATAGCCAGGTGCCAATGGCTCATGCCTGTAATCCTAGCTACTTAGGGGGCTGAGAGCTGAGAATCTCTGTTCAAAGCCAGCCTGGGCAGGAAAGTCCGTGAGATTCTTTTTTTTTTTAATTGTTAATTTTTTTTTTTTTATTGTGAGAATACCATACAGAGGAGTTACAATTTCATGGGGAAGATAATGAGTACATTTTTTCTTTTTTTTTCTTCTAGATGCATCTTTTTTTTTAAATTGTGAAAATACTGTACAGAGGGGTTACAATTACATGGGCAAGATAATGAGTACATTTCTTTTTTTTTTTCTATTTCCTTTGACTTTTTTTAAAATATATTTTTATTGTGAAAATACTGTACAGAGGGGTTACAATTACATGGGTAAGATAATGAGCACATTTCTAATCAAGCATTGTAGCCTCCTCCTTTGTTTCCCCTTCCCATCCCTTCATAGCCTCCCCCCTCCCCATCCCCCTCCCCCAAAGTTGTAAAGTTCGTTTTTTGACATAATGACTTGTACATCTCATTGTTGCAATGGGTCCTCCTGTATCACTGTTTTAACAATTTGTTTTTTCCCTTCCCCTCCACATATACCAACATCATATATAGTGAAAGCATGGGTTGTACCATGGGGGAGGGACATACAAGGCAACAAAGGCAACAAAGACATAATCTTTTTGTTTGTTTGTTTGTTTTGTTTTGGGGGGGGTCCAGTCGTGGAGCCTGAACTCTGGGCCTGGGCGCTGTCCCTCAGCTCTTCAGCTCAAGGCTCATGCTCTACCACTTGAGCCATCACGCCACTTCTAGTTTTCTGGTTTTTTTTTTATTGTGATTAAGTGATTATATAATTTCCCAAATTTCACAGTATTGTGGAATAATGATGCTCATTTAAAGTCACAAGCTCATTCTAACTTTCCTGGAACAAATTGTCTATCACGGTCTATAACATATAACAGTGTACACATATACACCATACATGTGATCAGCAGCATGGGGATATTTAGTAGTGGTTTGACCAGATGAGTGGAAGTTCTTTGTTTCTTAAGTCCTGTTAATTTTGTCGTATCACCTAACATTTTGGATTTAACATCCAGTTATCAGGGAGACCATGTACCATTTGTCTCTTTGCTCTTGGCTTACCTCGCTCAACATGATGTCTTCTAGCTCCATCCATTTCCCTGCAAATGCCATTATTTTGTTATTTCTAATGGCTGCATAATATTCCATTGTGTATAGATACCACAATTTTTGTATCCATTCATCTGTGGTGGGGCATCTGGGTTGTTTCCATATCCTGGCTATTGTGAACAGTGCTGCAATAAACATGGAGGTGCACGTGTCCTTGTATATTGGTTCCTGTTGTTCAGGGTATGAGTACATTTCTTATCAAGCATTGTACCCTCCTCCTTTGTTTCCCCTTCCCATCCCTTCCCATCTTCCCCTTACCCTCCCACCCAATCCTCTTCCTCCCTCCCCCCTCCCCACACCAAAGTTATAAAGTTTGTTTTTCCACATAATGTCTTGTACATCTCATTGTTGCAATGGATCCACCTGTATCCCTACTTAAACGATTTGTTTTGTCCCTTCCCCTCCACAAATTATACCAACCTCAAATACAGTGAAAGCAGGGGTTATACCATGGGGGAGGGACATACAAAGCAACAAAGAAATAATCTTATAAATGTGTTAAAAACAATCACCTGAAAGAAAAAAAACATTTGAATACATATCTTAGGGTTCATTTCCCTAACGTCAACTTATCTGACCTTTTCTGCTTGACTCAGACATATACTAGTTATTGCAGATAAGGGAAACCATGGGACCTAAGTTTCTTTGGGCATGGCTTACTTCACTTAATATATTTGTTTGCAAATCTTTCCATTTCCTAACAAATGGGGCAATGTCATTCTGTCTGATGGAGGCATAGAATTCCATTGTGTATATATACCACATTTTCTTGATCCATTCATCTACTGTGGGGCATCTGGGTTGGTTCCATATCTTAGCTATGGTCAAGAATGCTGCAATAAACATAGTCGTGCTGGTAGCTTTAGAATGGCCTTGTTTGTGATCATTTGGGTATATGCCCAAAAGTGGTATTGCTGGATCATAAGGGAGCTCTATGTGGAGTCTTTTGAGGAACCTCCATACTACTTTCCAAAGTGGTTGAACAAGTTTATACTCCCACCAACAATGCAGTAAGGTTCCCTTCTGTCCACATTCCCTCCAGCATCTCAATGTTTTGATTTGCATTTCTTTTATGGCTAGGGAGGTTGAGCATTTCTTCATGTATCTATTGGCCATCCTTCTTTCTTCTTCAGAGAAGTTCTCTGTAAGTCTTTAGCCCACTTATTTATTGGGAAGTTGTTTCTTTGAAGATTTGTTGTTGGGGGATTTAATTTTTTGAGTTCCAGGTATATTTTAGATATGAGACCCTTGTCTGTTGTAAGGCTAGTGAAGATCTCCCAATCTGTGAATGAGTACATTTCTTATCAAGCATTGTTGCCTCCTCTTTGTTTCCCCTTCCCATCCCTTCCCATACTCCCCCTGCCTCCCCCCACCCTCTGTGAGACTCTAAACTCCAATTAACCACCAAAAAGCCAGATGTGGAGCTGTGGCTTAAGTGGTAGAGTACTAGTCTTGAACACAAAAGCTCAATGACCAGGCCCTAAGTGCAAGCCCCAGGACTGACACAAAACTCAGTAAAGTAATATAATCACAAACTTAGGGAAATGCATTAAAAGAAAAACACAAGTTGGACTGCATATGTGTTCCAAGAGGGATTTGTTAGGTCCACTCAGAAAAATGGCCCCTTGTCTGTTTTCTCTCCATACAAAACTGCGTATAGCCCCCTTCCCCTTTGTTCTCTCTCCATACAAAACTGCATGTCACCCTCCCTGCCCAGCACCTGTAATGGCCAGGTAACTGGTCAATGAACACCTGCAGGTCAGTGGGAAGTCCCTCAGGCTCTGAGGTCTTCTCATCTGCTATGGTCATACCTCCTTCTCGCCCTTCCCTGTATAATCTCTCTGCCATTAGTTTGTGCTGCATCCTGTTCTAGAGTGCAACCCAGAAGTTTAGCTCCCCCAATAAACTCTTTTCTGCCTGAACCAGGTGGCAGTATTTTGGCAACCCTTACAGGCTTGACCTAGTCTGGTACAAATGTGGTCCAAAAAAGGAATCTCCAAGGAACTTCTTCCTTAAACACCTTCCCTAAAATAATTTGCATATAGTCAAGTGTGTCTATGTTAACTAATCATTTGATGAATTTTGATAGGCATATACACCATGAAATACTACAGCCATAAAACACCTTCATGTTTCTTGGCTACTAATAACCCATTTTACTTAACTTGTACCCCCAGACAGCCACAAATCTGTTTTCTGTCTCTATTATAAAGCCAGGCAGTGATGGCTTACACCTGTAATCCTAGCTAGTCAGGAGGCTGAGATCTAAGAATCATGGTTCAAAGCCAGCCTGGGCAGGAAAGTCTATGAGACTCATCTCCAATTAACCACCAGAAAACCTCAAGTGGTGCTGTAGCTCAAGTGGTAGAGCACTTGCCTTGAGCTGAAGAGCTGAGGGACAGCGCCCAGGCCCAGAGTTCAGGCCCCATGACCGGACCCAAAAAAAAAAAAAAAGAATGATTTTATCATGGTATCATTAATGGGAATTAGATTTCAACATATGGATTGAGAGGGGGACAGATAAAACATTCAATCTCTAGCTTTTCAGGTAAATAATATCATTGGGCTTAATAATAAACACACATTTACCTGTATAAGTTAAAATACAGTAGCATTTTGCATTCACACTAGTGAAACAGATGGTAGTAAAACATGCCCTCTTGGGACACTGGAAACTTTTTAGAGCACTATTAAAGTACAAGTACAGAAAGCCTTTGTAAGCACTTCTTTCAAAGTTTATTTTCCTTTGTGCTAAAATGTGTTGGGGGACAGGTGAAATTTAACTCCCTGATTGACAGCTGCTAGACTCTTTTGTGGGGCCAAGGGTGCCTTGAGTGAAGGTCTGTCAGCCAAGCAGCCAGACTGCTTTCATACCAGCAGTCAAAGCATGACTCTAGCTCCTGAAGGCACTAGCCCCAGCCAATAGCTTGCACTGTATTTTTGTCACTACAGCATCTACTTCTTTACCTGATGACCTAGCAAAAGACCTGTAGGTGACATTGCGCAATAATTGGTGCAAACGCAAACCTTCATTTGCATAAGGGGACTGCTATGATTGGTGCAGATACTTTTGTCACAACCCTTTTCTGGCTATGTATTCAGGCTTTTCAACTCATTTTGTGAACAGGTAGGAGGCCTTTCCTGTGCTGCCTCCTGGAATTTCAACATTAAATCTCAATTAAGACTATCTTTGAATGGTCTTGGCTTCTTTCAATTAGCAAAGTGGATGAGCTGTTAACATGAAGAAGAGAAGTACCAACAGAGAGGCTTCAGGAATGGTGGGCCATACCTTTGGCAGTAGTAGAGATGCAGTGGATCCCCCAACCATGGTAGCACAAACCTGTAACATCAACAACATCTGGTCAACCACAATCAACTGGATCTATGGTATCATTCCCTGGATAACCAGACTATTATCCAAGTGGTGAGAAACCCCAGTACCAGCATAAAACACTAGAACATGAAAATGAACCAATATTTTCTAGTTTCAAAAGCCAGTAAATTTGAAAAAGACACTGAGATAAGCACAATAAATCAAACAAAATGTTAACCAGTTTGGGCACTAGAAATTACCTAACTTAGCAATTATCTCTCAATGTGTTGGAAAAAAGAAAAAAAAAGCGCTGAGTGCCAGTACCTTATGTATATAATCCTAGTACTTTAGGATGCTGAGATGTGAGGATTAAGTTCTGAAGCTAGGCTGAGCAGACAAGTCTGTAAGAGTTATCTCCAGTTAACCTCCAAGGACAAGAACCCTAGGCCACTGTTCTGGCTGTCAAAAGTTCAAGACCAATTTTCTCTGCTTACTGAAATTCACTGCAGCTCCTGTAAACATCCACCAAGGGCCAAGAATAACTGGAAGAATAACCAGAATGACATCTTGTATTCCCATTCTTCTTATCTGGGTAAAGCAGGAGCACCCAGTTTGGGATATTTGAAAAAAGTTTTGGATATTCCAAATACTTATCTACACTAGGTCCTTTCAATTTAGCCATTCTAGTGAGTGTGATTTTTTTTATTGTGCCTTAATTGTGGTCTTGAAATATGGATACTGGGTCTAAGTAATGCCATCTTGTCCTCACTGCCATCTTGGCATTTTAATAGATGAACAGGACTTTCTGAAAACTCTAGGGGTGAAATTGCACTTTCCTAAACTCACAGGTGATAGGCAGCTGAATTCCTAGGTGGGGCAGGGGACTTAATAGGTTCCCAGACCTGCCAGACCCATACCATAAACTCACAAAACTCTTTCCCTGGGACCCTGCCCCCTAACCATGACCCTATGTAAGCTTTTCCACCCCTGCTGCCATTACACCATGCCTCATATCTCCTGACTATCCTCAGGACATGTTGGGCATCTCTCTTCAACTCTGCCTTAGAGTTGATCTGGTCTGTTGAAATTGTTTTCTTTAAAACCTTTATGGCTCAGTTTCCTAACAGTATTAACTGCATTCGAGGCTGCAAGTCTTTGGGACATGAGCCTACCCACACTCACCAGCTTTCTAATAAAGATTCCCAAATCAGCTTCTCAAAATGTGGCTTCTTGTATCTCATGATCAAATTCCTTTATAACGGTATTTTCTTGAGGACTAATAGAGTTAACATATTTTTATGTACTCAATAAGGCAATTTACATATACATTGCTTCTATTTTCATTGGCTTGTCTTACTATTTTAAAATTGTAGTAGTATTTTAAATATATTTTGGGTCCCAGTACTTTATTGGTACAGGTATTACAAGTATGTTCCTTCAGTTTTAGTTTGCCTTTTAAAATTTTCTTAAGTGCTTATGAGAAGAAAATTTTAATTTTATAAAATTCAATTTGTCAATTTTGTGTTTTATGGTTCATGTTTTTATGCTGCAAGACATTTTTTATCCTGATAGTCTAAAGATTTACTTCTAAATATTTGAGAGTTTTCAATTTTACATTTATGTTAATGATTAATTTCAAAACTTTTTTTTTGTTGGGCATGGGGCTTGAACTCTGGGCCTGGGTGCTGTCCCTCAGCTCTACCACTTGAGCCATAGCACCACTTCCAGTTTTCTGAGTGCTTTATTGGAGTTAAGAGTCTCACGGCCTTTCCTGCCTGGGCTGCCTTTGAACCGTAATCCTTAGATCTCAGCCTCTTGAGTAGCTAAGATTATAGGCATGAGCCACCAGTGCCAGGCTTAAAACTTTTGTGTACAATGTAATATAAGTATTAAAGTCTCTCATTTTCATTTTCAATAGATAATTATGCTGGGAGCTGGGAGTTCATGCCTATAATTCTAACAACTCAGGAGTCTGAAGACCAGGCATACAAATCTGAGAGACTGTTATCTTGAATTAGCCAGCAAAAAGCCAGAAGAGTGGTGTGACTCAGGTGGTAGAACTCAAGCCTTGACCAAAAAAGCTAAAGGATCTTACAAAGTCCTAAGTTCAAGCCCCAATACCAGTACACACACACACACACACACACACACACACACACACATTGCATAACCAGTAGTACCAGCACTATTTGCTGATAAGATTGTCTTTTCCTTACTTCTCAAAGCTTCCCCAGGCCCTCTCCTCAGGCTATACAGAGTTTCAAGAATGGTAGTAATCTTCACCATGCAAAAAGTACAACACTCTCACAAACAAAATGTTGACAACTAACATGTGTATCAGGGCTGTGCTATATACTTGACAAGACATTGGCTCTTTTAGTCTTAGTGAGGATCATGTGAAGTTAGTGCTTGTATTGAGATAGAATATTGCAAGAGAACCAGGGCACTGTTCCAGAGGCCTTAGCAGGGAGGCTGCATTTCTGGGGCAGATGTCAGTTTGTCACCTGCTCAAACCTATAGGCTCACACAGGCACCGAGAGGCACACACTCAGAGTTGTCTTTGGAGGCAAACCATGAAAGTGCTCCTAGGAGGCCTAGGGGTAAGGAAGTATTGAAATGCACAGTCATATCCAATTGGAGGTGATACAGAAAGTCTTATGAACACCACAGGTGCTCTGAGTGGAGATAAAATATGCCTGATGTGGACAATGGGAAATAACTAGAAGCAAGCCCAGAAGCTATCTGACCTTCAAGCGAAGGGTCCTAGGGCAGAACACGAGGTGGGAGGGTGAAGACTATGCCAGCGCCTGGCTGGCTCACACCTGTAATCCTAGCTATCAGGAGGCTGAGCTCTGAAGATTGTGATTTAAAGCCAACCCCAGCAGAAAAGTCCGAGACTCTTATCTCAAAACAACCACCAAAAAGGTTGGAAGTGGAGCTGTGGCTCCACTAGTAAAGGGCTAGCCTTGAGCAAAAACGCTCAGGTACAGAGCCTAGGCTATGAGATCAAGCCCCTGGACTAGCACACACACACACACACACACACACACACACACACACACACACACATACACACACACACACACACATACACAGGTCTTGGCTCTGCTGCTGGGATGAGAGTGTAAATGGGGAAAAGGAAGGAATGCACAGTCTCCAATTTTACCCCAATGCCCATAGAGTTTCTATCCTGTGAGTTTATGATCTGATCTGGAATACTTGGCTACCACACAACAATTTCAACATTTTCTGGATACCCACTGATACCAGGAACTGGTATTTGTCATCCTGTCATTTAATCTCCAGATACATATATTGGGAAGGACTCACCGTGTCTTTTTTAGATGAAGAAACTGAGGCTCTAAGGTTTGAGCAACTAAGCCCAGTTACTTTGTTCTGGCCAATGTCCCAGTGCCTTGTGGGATAAGCTGGCAGTGAATACTGGCTCCCTGTGTTGATCAGCTTCCCACTACTGTGGCAAAATACCTAAGATAGACAACTTATAAGACAGGTTTATTTTTGGTCATATTTCAGAGGCTTCAGTCCATGGTTGTTTATGTGGATCCGTTCATTTGGGGCCTATGGAAAAGCAGAATAACTGGTAAAAGCATGACTGGGAAACTACAGGGAGGCAAAGAGGCAAAGAAAGAGGGAAAAGGAGGGGCCAGAGCCTTTCAAGGGCATGCCCCTCCTCCCCGTAATGACTTAGCTTCCTTCTGTGGGGCTTTTTTTCCTAAAGGTTGCACTGCTTCTCAATAGTGTCATGCTCTGTCAACCAAACTTTTAAAACATGGGCTTGAGGAGACACTTATCCAAATGATGGCATTCCTTACTCACCCAGCCTAGGCCCTTCCTTTGCAGTGTGTCTCCTGGCAGACATTTTTAAAAGTCCTGTATCTTCAAATTCAGCGAGATGGTGTAGGGCAGGAGGGGACACAGAGGACAGCAAGCCTTGTTCCACTATGACTAAAGAGTGATGGGGATGGTTTTTAAAATATCTTTTCTGTGACTTTTCTTATATATGATGTCTTGAGAATGGGCACAAGACTAGTAAATTGAGATGGGGCAGCTGATTTTTCCTGCGGAGTACCTGGTAAGAGTCCTGTCAAGGAACACGGGGGGGGGGGCAGCTGGGAGGTCTTGAATGCCTTTGGAAAGGAGGGAGCACTTCAGAGAAGCCAGATAGGTCTCCAGCTAGCTTCTAGGAGAGATGGTAAGGGGAAGAGCAGGTGGCTTCTCGGAGGGAAGCTGGGCAGGCCCAGCTGTGTCTAGTCCTCCTTGACTCCCTATTGTGGTTGACAGCCCATGAAGATGGTCAACCAAAGGGCCAGCTATCCACCCACAGGATCTGCCAAGGCACTCATGGGCAATTCCTCCTTATCCAGCTTATGTTTTGTTCCCCTTTCATTTTCTCTGCCCATCATCCCTTACCTGTGGATCTCTCTACCAGCCAGGAGTTGCAATGAGTCTGCACCTGACAGAAGTCCCAGAAGACTGTACCATGCAAAGAGAAGGGCTTGCTATTCTCATATAACTAAAAGGCAACTGAAAGGCCTGGGTCAAGCTCTGGGGCCCTTTAGGTTTCCTCCTTCCTTGGCCTGCATTTTTGAAGCTCCTGCTGGCCTGATACCTACTATACATTCAAGGGTTGTGTCTAATTCTAAGCAGGGAATAGGAAGAAGGGAGCATGATGATGTTTCTATTGACAAAACAGACATTTGTCCATAAACCCAGGACACTGGACTCACCACAGCCAAACTCTATGGCCATAGAGACTTACGAAAAAGTCAAGGTTTCAATCAAACAGAACATGGATGCTGCTGTCAGTGAGTTATGAAAGGGCATCCTGATACATTTGACCATTACAGGCACATAATTGTTGAGTTCTAAAAATGTTTTCTTCAAGTCATAACCACTCACCATAGTTTTAGCTGCTCATAACAACACACATTTATTATCTCACCATTTGCATGTGTTAAAGAGTCCAGTACAATATGGATGGGTCTTCTGCTTGAGGTTTCACAAGGCTGAAGTCAAGGTGTCTGAAAGTCAGCTAGGGAGGAATCTTCTTCCAAGTTCACATTGTCTATAGATTTCAGCTCCTTACAGTTGTATGACTGAGGTCTCTGGCTCCATCTCAGAAGTGGCCAAGTGAGTGTCTCCTGCCCTCTGTGTCTAAACATGGTTTTTCCTCTCTCTCACTTGCCTGCCATTGAAATATACCTCCTTCCACTGTCCCCTTGGTTCCTTACATTTCCCCATCTCCATCTTCAAAGCAAATAAGAGCTCATTTAGTCCTCTTTTGAATCTCTCTGGCTTCTTTTACCATACCTTCCTGACTCTAGCTGGAGAATGTTCTCTACTTTTAAGAGCTCAAGTGATTATCTCGGACCCACCCAGATACTCCATGATAATCTCTATATTAAGGTCGATATCCCAAATTACATGTGTGAAATGCCTTTTGCCATGTAAGGTAACATATTCACAGATTCCAGAATTAGGATGTAGACATCTTTGGTGGTCGTCTACCTACTATGGAGGTAACTGGGTCAGGGCATAGGCATACAGCAACATTCTTCACTTGCCACCTGAACATGAAGCTTTAACTCACAAACAGAAGTATGGGAACAGACTTGGGGAACAGACTTGGAGAACAGGGCAGGTGCTGGGTTCACATGGAACTGGAACTTTCCTAAGGTACCAAGGTCTGTAGGATGAGTCAGAGTCTGATGAGGGAAAGTATGAGCCAACTGCATCTCAGACCAACCCACAGAGCCAGATGCAGGAGCCCAGTACCAAGGTCTGTAGGATGAGTCAGAGTCTGATGAGGGAAAGTATGAGCCAACTGCATCTCAGGACCAACCCACAGAGCCAGATGCAGGAGCCCAGGCATGGAAGGTAAGGGGAAGCTAGCAAGGACTAGGTCAGCACATGTGATAGTATTGCCTCTAGTATCCAGGGGACCACTTTAGCCACTTGGTCCTCAAACCAACTCCATGACACTATTTTTTTTTGTTTTTGTTTTTGGGTCCGGTCATGGGCCTGAACTCTGGGCCTGGGCGCTGTCCCTCAGCTCTTCAGCTCAAGGCTAGCGCTCTACCACTTGAGCCA